GGAATTAATAAGATTTTCAAATAATATATTATCAACTCTCATAACACAAGGTTCATTAGTATTATGATTACCAGTTTTATCTTTTTTAACAATTAATGGGAAATGTAATTTCTTATTTACTTTAGTAATATCAATATCAACAAGAAAAGCAGAAATAAATTTACTTTCAGTAGGTTCTAATTGTTGTTCATCCATAAGGTGATTAAGTAAATAATCATTAGATAACATATTTTCAGGAATAACAATTGGAGAACCGGTTGCTAATTTTAATCTATTAATAGCTGAAGGATATAATGAACAAGCATCATAATCATATAATTCATCATTTACATACCACTTTTTATTATCTCTAGTCATACATCTTCCTCCATAAATAGCTCCTTGAATAAATTCTCTAACTTTACCACCATATTCTTTTAAATTATTTATTTTTGAATATACATTTTGCTTAAAGTAAGTATTAGCTAAAGAAGCTGAAATTACTTTATCGACATCAATATTTAAATATTCTAAACACACATCTCTAAATTTAGAATGACCTTGTTTTAAGATTCTAACATATTGGTTACAGTAGAATACACAATAAGCTTTCATATCGAATTTAAATTCATCAATACGACAATTCTCAATAGAATCAATATTTTCATTTAAATAGTTCAAATTGTTCTTCAGTCCATTGATTAGTTTCATATAAATCAGCTTCTAAAATAGTACCACAATTGTTTTCAATATTATCCTTATTATAGTAATTGTATGGATAGATCTCTTTTTGAAAATTAGATAAGCCGAACATCTTTGGAAACGGTGCAAATGATGTAGAGATTAAAGTATAAGAATCTTTAAAAGTTAATTGTTTACCTTGGAATTTAAGAGTCATTTGCATGATTTTACCGCCTTTCTTAATACATCTATTAACAACATATTTAGCAAGGAATGAGCCATCATATTTAAGATTATGAAAATAACAAACAGCATTATGAGGTAAATCACATAAGAAATCATAAACACAATCTTTTTCATATTTATTATAAATCTTATCTTCACCTCTTTTAGAATAACAAACACGATATGGATTATGATAACCTTGAGTAGAAGCTTCGAAATCAGCATACCAATAAGAGTGATTTATTCCTTTACATTTATTTACTTCAATATTTCTTGTTTCAAAAGGAAAATATTCAAGTGTATTTAATGAATGTAATACATATTCAGATAAATCTGATTTCAAATGTAAAACATCAGAAAGAGAATTTGGTTCGAATCCATTATGATCTCTAATATAAATAATAAGATCAGATAATTTGATAGAACTATTTTTTATCTTTAACTTCATAACATTGTTTATCTTTATTATATCGTTGTTTATTAAACATAGATTTTATACTTTTATTATGATCAATTGCCCATTTATTCATTTCTTCTCTATTTTTAAGATAAAATGAAGTAATAGAAATATCAATATTTAATAAATAATGATCTCCTTTCATAACCGAATCACGATATAAAAACATTTCCAAATTATATTTAGCATCTTTGAGTTCGCAACCATAATAATCAATGTAACAATTTTTATCATGTTTTTTATTATTGTCAGTACATTCTCTATCAATTCTAATTCTAATATGAGCAGATTTACATAATTCATTCAACGATTTAGCTTTTTGATATATTCCTCTACAATGAATTAATACTAATTATAAAGTTTCATTATCAACTTTAGCTTGTTTTAAAGCATAACAGAAACAATTTAAATCAAATTCTGATCTAACCTTTCCATTTTTATCAAATAATGAACTAAATATTTGTGCTTTAGAAAGATATTTTCCAAATATACTGAATTCTTCTTTATATCTATATAGGAAGAAAGAACCACCAGTAGTTTTATATTAATGAATAAAATCTTCAGTATAATAGTATGGTGAAATTTTTAATTCAAGTAAGAATAGTGGTTCTGGAATAGTTTATTGAATATAAAACTTAGAATCAATAGATACATTTACTTCTTGTTTATTGATAAAACACATGGATTTCTCAGAAACAAAATTAAGAAATTCATCAATGGCGTCTTGAGTATTTAACATATAAGATTTCCATCCATCTTGACTAAGGTAATAGTTATAAACTATTTCAGTAGTAGAAGGAATGGATTTAATTAAATCGATAAAATACTCTCTCACTAATTGAATTTTTTTTAATTTTTCTCTAAAACCACATCTAAAATCTGCTTTAATTGTTTTATTAGCTCTATCATAAGTTACTTTAGTATTAATTTCAGTATGATCTTCAATTTCTTCAATCATATCTTTATATTCTTCCATATTATCATTATAAAGTTGTTGTTGTTCTAATTCTTCTATCATATCATTATAATTTCTCATATTATTTTCATATTGTTCTTTTTCTTTCAATTCTTTAAAATATTTATTCCTTTCAGCGTTAATTCTTAATTCTTCTTCAAAATTTTGATACATATCTTCTCTCATTAAATCATCATTATCTTCAATATCATCAAAAGAAATATATTTTAAACTCCATTCTAAATTCTTTTTGTCAAGTTCTTTTTGAATTTTTTCTTCATCTAAATCTTTGGTTAATGTTGCTTTTTAATTAATTAAACCAAAAGTTTGTTTATCAGTTTTGTTTAATTTATTGAAAACTTTTGATAAAAATGGTTGTTTTAATTTAATAATACTTTTCTTGTTATCTTCCATTCTTTTTAATTGAGTTTCTAATTTTGCTTTGTAATGTAAATATAAATCTCTTGTTTCAATGTCCATAGCAATTAATTCTTTTCTACATTCTTTATTATTTATTTTAGTAGAAGCAGCTTTAATAGTTCCAGCTTTAATAGTAAAACAGTTTAAAATATCTTCTTCAGAATAAGTAATAGTAATTTTATAGAAATTCTTAATTCTGTATTGACCTTTAATAGTGCTCATTTTAGGGGAAATAAAAAATTAAAAAAAATATAAATATGATTTCAAATTTTGGAAAAAATAAAAATCCCGAATTTTGTGAAAATTCAGATTCGCGTCCCTCGCGATTTAATTAAAGTATTATAAAATATAGTTAAAATGGAAGGTGTATTAAATCTACATAATTTATATACTACTGGCTTAATATTTTATGTTTTAAATCCAATAATTACTTTTATAAATAACAAATATGTTATTCACAATTAAAATTTAATATTAAAACTGTTATTAATATGATTGTAAATAACATAATCAGTAGTGCGTCACCAATAACGTTTGAAGGTAATATGTTTTTTTTATTTTTCAATCACTTTAGTACAGAATAAAGTCTGTTTTGTATTTTGAAATATTCCATTGTGAACTTTTTTTCAAAATGAACGACTTTTTTAAGCAAGCACAATATTATTAAAACCGACTTTAAAATATATAAAAGTACAGAATGGTCATTAAACCTTATCTGAAACCTTGAGGCTTATGCGATTTTTTAGAATAATTTTTATTATTATTATGAAAAACTATACAAAAATAAATCAAATCATAAGTTATTTTGGGTTTTCCATTTAAATCAAAAAACATTCATTTTATGGAAGAGATAACACCAAAGTTTATCGAAACAATCAAGAACAAGGCGAGAACTGGTCAGTATGAAATAGAGTTTAAACAGTTGTCAACAAAAAACACGAGAAAAAATCATTAACCAAATCTGAAATGAAAGACAATATAAAAGAGATGTTTAAAGCGGGAAAATTCAAAACAAAACTTAAAATAAAAGCATTTGAATTATTAAAGTGTCTTTCTGATGATATTTTCCTAGCCAATGATATGGTCCAACAAATTCAACAAATCTACAAGTTCCACAAGAAGCCATATGGTTCAGAAGGAGCGATCGGTGCATTATTTGGCCTTCCTGGTGGTGCTATACATATCCACAACAATCAAGAGAGTGAACAACCTCAACACCATTGCAATTTTACAACAGAGATGGATTTGGGAATACAGAAAGTGTTCAAGTATTGTGACTCTAATGATAAGGCAGTAACATCGTATTTGATTGAACTCTTGTGCAGAGCTTTTGATGGCCATTTCGATGTCAAACGAAAAGGTATCATCAGACATATTGAAACGGTTCATAAACGTGTCACAGTTGTTGCGAAGCCAGAAGAAGTAGTGAGACTTCAATGTGATTCAAAGAATGTCGTTGCCAATTTCGAGACCTTTGTCGACATTTTTAATGGTGTTGATGCACAACTTTGTTTCAATGTTGATGAAATTGGCTTTAGTGAACACACAGACTCTGGAAACGTAAGTGTATTTGCCAAAAGCAAAACTTTCAAAGTCAAAGCCTGCGTTTCAAGATCTTCAAAACGCAGCACGATGTTGGGTTGTATCAATGCACAAGGCTCACTTATATGCCCAGCAATAGTCCAAAATTTCAATTGTAGCTTCTCAGTCGACTTTCCAGATGTTGCTGTTTACTACACGAGCAGTGGCTTTGTAAACCGATACACCCTCAAAACGTGGATGCTGACCAAGTTGTTGCCTCATATCATTGACACCAGAAAGAAAATGAGTATTCCCGAAGAAAATCCGTAATAATTATGGATAATTTCGGTGCACACGTTGATTAAGAAATGAAAAACGTTTTTGAATCGAACAACGTGTATTTTTCATTTCATTGTACCACATTCGAGTCACTTGGTGCAGCCACTTGACTTGTGCCTTTTTGGTTCCATCAAAAAGGCTTTGCGTAATTCAACTCCAATGTTTATGAGCAAACAAAGTACGCAAAAAACAACAATTGAGTGCTCACATTCAACGTTGACAAATTCGGCATTTAGAACATCTTCAATCACGGCAAAAGTCGAAACTTTCAATATATTACAACCACAATTTGAGCAATGGATCAAGCAGCTAGACGATCCAATTAGTTCATCTGGTTTGATCAATGAACGAGCTGAGTGGGGAAGTAAGATGACCAGTGTCATGAAAAAAGTAATGAGAGAAGTTTATAAAAGATCTGATATTGAAACAGTCAGAAGCAGTTTTAGGAGAGCCGGTTTCGTGGTAGTGGTGAGAGACAAAAGACCCAGAGTTTATGTTGATATGCTATCGGCCAAAGTATTCCTGTCAACTTTAAATGCCAGAACAATGGGTAATGGAGAAACTGAAAGCACCAGAAAACATGATGTTTAGAAACAAAGCAATTGTATGCAATGAAGAAGTTGTTGAAGAAGCTGTCAACCAATGGAGAACCTATGATCAAATACAAAAAGACAAGAAGGAAAGAGATCAATGCAATGTGCAGAAGATAATAATGTCGAGGTAATACGTGAAGAAAGAGTTGATAATAATCGTTGTTTGTTTAATAATGAAATAGAATCGCACATGAATTCGAAATGTTGAGAACACGGCGAAATAATTCCTCTTCATGACAGAGTTATAATGTGAATGGATTTCTGTGATAAAAATAGAGTATTGAGACCAATGACGATAGAGGAATTAAAACAAAGAGAAAAGGAGGAGATGAATTTTGACGTTGGTGATAATTAAATCATTTTGATTTATTTTTTAATTTGATAATAGAACACATATCTATATCATTCAGTCTCTCCGTCATTCGGTCTTTTAATCATTTAGTCTCTCCATCATATTTTTTTGTTTTTATTCAGTTTAAGTTGTTCATATTTTTTTTCAAACAATGATTATTTAGTTTATTTTAGTTCAACTCCTTTTTTGATTTTAATTTTGTTGAATTGTTTTCTTATATTTTCCAAATCAATCTTTTTTATTTTTGTAATCGCATAAGGCTCATAGTTTATTTTTTTGTTTTTTAGTATAAAACTGTGTTATTTGCCTTTTTTAATATAAGTATTGATTTTTTTACAAACATTTATAATCTTTTTATATTAAGAAAATAGCATAAGGGTGAATACCACATCTGTATTATTAAACTAACACAATAAATGTTGTATTTATAATTACAACGTGGAAGAACTACGAACTATTAATTAGTATATGACCAATCAGAAAACAATAAAATGGCTGTTTCAATATTTTTTACAATAAGAACTTTTACGATTATTATTAAAACTATTTTAAAGTAATAGTATATTATTGATTGAGTTTGTAATGAACTATTCTATTAATAGTATGAACCTATTGTTTTTATTAATAAACACCAATAAAAAATCAATTAATTTGCATTCAAATTTGTTTAAAAGTCGGGTTTTATGTTTAACATAAAATAAATGAACCTTATTTGAACGCCTTGTATTTTTAATTTTAAATGTAGTATTTATTATAAAAATTATTTATAATGTATAGTTCAAGTTCTTGATATGTTCAAACACAATTGAACCTAAACCAAAATGCTTAATCGAGTGTTTTAAACAAGAAAGTATATTTTTGAAAACTAAAACACATTTACTATATATAGTATCAATATCTCAACAATCCAAACGATGAGTCATTCAAGTAAAAGCACGTGCTACCAAGACAACAAACAAAAGAACACCAAATTGAAACAGGAGTCTACAAATTCTAAATACTATTATGTCCACTCTTGTCTTAGTTATTTGGCAATGAAGAAGAAATATTCTTTCATTGTCCTCAACAATAAAAGAACAAACTTTAAGATGGCTCCACACTTTGAAATTGCTAACATCTTTGATGAGCAGGGAAAATTAGTTTTCGACTCTAACGAGAAATATTTTGTTGAAAACTCAAACATTGTCTTTGACTCTGATGGATTACCAATAAAGAAAAGTTCATTATTCAATACATCAGAGTGTGTCACTATATCTGAAAGCAAAGGAGTTGAAGAAATGAACAACAATGACAAATTGCTGTATTTAATGAACTTCATGAATTACAAAATCAATTTTTTCTTCCCATCAGAAAAACAGAGTAAAACACAAACACGGACAGCAAAAGATACAAAGAAACTGTCAAGCATCAGACTGTTATATATTCCGTCCTACAACATCAAAATATCCAATTTTGAATTGAAAAAGAGACGTGAGACTGAAAAAGACGATGGGAAATGTGGTCTTCAGTTTTTTTCAAAAAGTTTCAAAACTATGAAAATCAAAAGCAAAACTCGTAAAGGCGACACGGCGATATTCTTAGGTAACATCCCTCAGTCATATAACAAGCAATACTCTAACATCAAACGTGTGACACTTGAAGACTATGAAAAGGAAATTATCAGTACCAAAATGAACATAAGTGTGATGACGTCATCGACAGATTCAACTGTAGACAATGTGATAAACAGCGAAGATAAGTCAATGGTCTGTGATTATGAAGATAAAGACATAGTCAAAGAAGAAGAAATAGATGGGATTAAGAGTGTTGAAATTAAAGAAGAAATAACAAGCCAAACCATCACTTGTTCTTCACCACAAGGCATTTCCACAGATATCATACATGAAAACGTAACACTGCCAATATACTATGTCCCAGTCGCCATTTCAGTTGTGAACAACACACCATTTGCCATTCCTATGTTTGACATGAATTATTTCAACACCATTCAACCATGTTATTTCAATATAAATCAACCGAGTCTTAATTCTGTTGATGAATATTCAATTGATGGTTTCAATAACACTCAAAATTGTGCTGATGTGAATAATTAATTGCTCAATCAAAGTACTAAATCATATGTAAATAACATCTTTGACTTTTGTTTATTTATTATTATTTTAAATAATAAATATAACATTTTATTATAATTGATTATTTTGTTATTAATAAATATTAATTATCATTTGGTTATTAATATTATTATTACTACTATATATACCATATTTAAAATATTATTATATTATTAAATTTATACTATAAAATTTATTAATTAAATATATTTAATAAACGATTAACATATCTGTATTGGTTATTAATTTTGTATATCTTTCAAATTGGAACATCTTGTGAATGAACGTTCATCGATACAGCACTTTTTGTTTTCCACTATAACACTTTTGAGTGCTTTGCACCCATCAAAACAATTTCTTTTAATCACATCGACATTTGATGGTATAACAATTTGTTCCAAAACGGGTAAATACTCAAAAGTCCCATTTTCAAGTGTTTTCACCCCTTTCCCAATTTGTATACGTGACAATTTTTGGCAACTTGTAAAACAGTATTCTCCAATAAACGTGACGCTGTCTGGGATCTCTACTGACTCTAAACTGTTGCATCTAGCAAATGAGTATGACTCAAATGACAAAATTCCCTTTGGAAATTGAATGATTTTGAGTGCAGAAACATATTCAAATGAACTCGAGCAAAGTCTTGTAACGCCGTTTGGAATCTCATAGCAGTTTAAAACAAGTCCTCGTAAACATCTGTCTCCTATTTGTGTAATTATATAAGAGACCCTTTTCAGTGTTTTGTTGTCGACTGGGATTTCTATTGTATGGTGTTTTCTATCCTTTTTAGTATAAACTACATTCCCAAACAAAAATTTTGTTTCTTTAAATATTTCTTCGTTTTTTTCATTATCCAAAACTGTTTGATAGTTAACTTCAAACCAAATATTGATTTTGAAAAAGTTCATTATTAATGTTGAATTTGTGCCTATTTTGTGGATAAAGCCGTGTTTAAATTCGTATAACTGTTTTTCAGTAAAGTTTCTAAAACGACTGTCATCGTAATCGTCTGATTCACGAGGCTTATATGGGTACTTGTGGATGTAAATTATATTACCAAAAGTGTCAGCTTTATCACTCCAAAGATTGAGTGTTTCTATGTTGGGGAAGTACTTTAAAGTCTTTTCTGTGACTGGAACTGGATTGAAGTGAAAAAGTTCCATAAAGTCTTGATATTTATGAGAGACCATTTGAATAGTAGTAAAGTCTTTAATTGTAAATAAGTATTTTGAGACAACCATCATGTGATATGTGTCCAAATTACAATGTTTTGTTGGGAACATTGTGGAGACTTTATTTTTTTCATTGTGGAAGAATTTAAGAGAAAACATTTGTATGTTTTAAAGTTTATTAAAAAGATGTTTAAATTGTTAAAAGATTGAAAAACATTTAATAAATTGAATGTATCAATTGTTTTTGAAAATATTTTTTAATTCTTATTATTTATATAAAATAAATTAATGAAAAAAAATAATATGTCGTAATTGTAAATGAATATTTTGCTTTTTTGTCACACAATCGGCCAATCGTTTAGATGTACGACAATTATTTTTTTTTATTTTCAAATCTTACACTTTTGATAAATTAAAAACCATTTTTTAGTAAAAAATATTTCATTATTAGAATGAACTTTCTACAAAATTCTTTCGTTAACGACAAATAAACATATTTTCTGCTGAATTCACAACAAAAAGACGTTTTCGACTGTACATGTTTTGGAATTTAAATTGGTCTTAAAATTTACTTTGTGAATTTTAAGTAATTAAATAAAAACAAACAATAAATCAACAATACTCAGTTAAAAACAAATTAAACATATACATAAAGTCATACAATATTTTTGTGTTTTCAATTGATCTTAAAAATAGGGTGATAGTTTAATCGACCAACTTTGAAAGCACAAGAAATATGAATTTTTGATGAATGACATTACATTCAATAAAAATGTTTACCAAAATATATGGTTCTTGATATATTGAACAAAGAATGTTTCAAAAAATGCAGATATATGTTCTTTTGGTGTGGCGTTATTTGAATGCTTAACATTAATTACACATTCTAAAAGATTAGTTTTAGTTTTCATCATCGATTTTGTTATAAGTGAAATCGATAAACTGTAGGATTTAAAGGACAACATATACAACAATACGAATGACATGTGGTATCAAGATGTTCACAAATGAAAATTAAAATAAATATTACAAATTGAGAAGTATTAATATATTTAATTTAATATTTTGAATTATAATTGTTAT